AGGCCCCACCTCCACCCCGTCTTCACCACATACCCGCCTGCTCGTTGGCCGCCAGGTTCTGTTCAAACTCGATGCGCAGCATCTCGTACTCCTTGCGTACCTGGGCCAGCGTGTCCTCCAGCTGGATAACCTCTGTGCGCAGCTTCTTCTGTAGCCCCAGCTCATCGCTCTGTAGGTTGAGGTGTTAAGGACCCACACAACCCTTTAGCCCCTGGCAAACCCCTCTCTTCTTCCCCCCCACCTCAGGCCTCAGTGGCTTAGGAAGAATTTATTCCCAAGGGATCCCTGGTAGCACACAAGGCCTCCAAAGGCCCTGACCCTAAGGTCTGTTCCAGGGCCATACCTCCATGTGCTCAATGTGTCTCAGGTGGGAATTCTTGGTAGCCAGCAGCAGCCCCCGGGCCTCATCAAGCTGGGTCTTCACTTGCAGAGACTCATTATAGAGCAGTGAGAACTGAGCCTGCAACATCCGGTACTCCCCCGTTTCCCGCACCACCTCCTCAGGAAGGCTCCGCAGGGCTACCTAGGAGCAAGGTGCCCAAAAGTGATCAGCAGGAGGATTCAGGGCCCAGCAACTACCTGGCAGGCTCAGGCCCTACCAGGCCTAAATACAGCCCACCTTGAGGCGCTCATTGGTCCGCACAGCCCCCTGAAGCTCGGCCTGTAGCTTCTCCAGCTCTGCCATCCGGCTGTTGGCCAATTCCTGGTTTTCTTCCAACTCTGCATTCAGCATCTCAAACTGTGGAGCGGGAGGGACTATGGCAGGTAGGGCCAGGCCAGAATGCATGCTTCCCTCCCATCCCCACCACACGGGGACAATGATGGATTCTGAAGCCCTAAGGACAGGCCAAACGCAAGCACTTTCCTAAGGGCTCCCAGATAAGTGGGAGAAAATACTGCACGGTCAGTGCTGGCAACCAAGGCTGACAGGGAGTCAGGGAAGGCTTCCTGAAACACCTGAAGAAAAAGCTGAAATAAGGAGTTCACAGGAAACAGTGACCCTCACAGGACCACAAAATAGTGCAACGACCAAGAAGTCATAGAGCCCGCTCAGTGAGGCCCTTCTTCAGCTACCCAGCTAAGAACGCCAGTCAGCTCCAACATATTTCCATTGGTCTCTTTTCTATGCTTTTTCTTTGAGGCACTTATCGCCACCTTATGTACTACGTACTTATTTGCTCCTTCAACCAGAACCCAAACTCCAAAAAAACCTCTGATTTCTGTCTATATTGTCCTCTGATATGCCTGCTTCCTAGCAGTCTCTACCATTTAGCATTCAACAGTATTTACTGAATATGTAAACGAATGAGACAAAGCAGCATGAGTACAGGCAAGGGCCTCAGAGACCATGTGGGTGGTCTGTCCTTAATTCTGAGGGAACGTTCATGGGTAAGGTAGATAAAAGGTTATGGGAGGGGCTGCCAAGAATGGCGGCTGCTCACCTTCTGCATGCTGAGTGTGATCTGGCCCCCCTGGAAACCTGAGGAGCTCCCAGACACATAGTAGCCAGAGTTGAGCTGTGGAGAGACAGATAGATGGGAGTGGAGGAGAGAAGCAAGACTCCAAGTATTTAGCCCTGGCTCCATCTGACCCAGCACCCTAGCCCCACCTGCTCCAAGGCCTCCGCCAGGTGCTTATTGAGCTTCTGCTCACGCTTGCGCAGCTTCTCGATGTCCCACTGCAGGTCCTCCACCGTCGTCTCCATCTCTAGCACCTTGGTCTCTGCTGACGTCACTTTATCCTGGAGCTCAGAATACTAGACAATGATAGGGAAGACGCTTAGAGCAAGGGACTTGGCTCCCTGAGATCCTGGGTGCCCATCTAACCCAAATCCTGCCCCAGTTTTAATCCCACCTCCAATGAGATGCGGTGGTGCTTCTCCTGTAGCTGGGTGGCCAAGTCCTGCAGTCGCCGGTTCTCACGACCCAGCTCCCGGGTGCGCGCCCGAGCCACCTCACTGGGGGGCTCGCTGTCCCCTGGGAAGGCAGGGCTCGGGTAAGAGCGAAGTCCAAGGCAATGGGGCAAAGTACTAACTCATTCTGTGAGTGCCCATGTGATCCACCAGCTGTCTTGCCAATCTCTCATGACAAAGCCAGGAGTCTTTATCCCCACTGTACAAAGGAGGAAACCAGCTCAGAGAAGAGAGCCATTTACTGAGAACGCCCAGGCTAGAACAACAGGACTAGGGCTGGGAGAAGCCTGTCAACCTGCAAAGCCAAGGCACTTGCTACTATGCCTTGTGGATCAACAACTGCCACCAAAATTTGCGCAAAGTGTTCCAAAGAGGTCTCCAGCTGGAAGGCAGGGGCCCCATAAGCATCGACAACTCCTCCCACCTATCTCTCTAGAGTTCAACCCCAGGAATCAGAGCCAGGGCCCCATCTACAACCGACCCCTTTCCCTGAGAACGTGGCTGATTTATTCCTTGGAGAATTATGGCTGCCTCTGGGCTTGGGGCATTGAGGGGATATAATCAAGATGCAAATGGGGGTAGACACCCATGCGATGGGGAAGGAAGAACCAACCTCGGCTATATACTCGCTGACAGAGTTCCTCCACCCGGCGTTGTAGGCGGTCTGAGGCCTCTACGACCCGGGACACAGCTGCCTTGGAGAACTCCATCCGGCCCTGCAGCTGGAGCTCCACCTCCTCACTGCTGCTGGCGCCCAGTGCTACCACAAAAGCCAAGGCTGGCTCACTGAGAGGGGGCCGCGGCTGCACCGGCAGAGGCTCTGCGAGGGATGGACAGACCTTTGTGAGGATAACAGCAGCAATTACCACCACTCCATACGATGTTCCAGCCTGAGCCCTTCACTCTACGGCTCACTGAATTGACACACGCAATGCCTGTAATACACTGGTATCCCCATCCTCAAAGTGATACAACTTTATTTCAGAGAGATAATTTACTCAAGGCCACAGAGCTCCCAAATCACTCTTCAGGGAAGCCTTCTCCATCTAAATTAGAACCACACACATGTGTGCATACACTGATTCCCTCTCAAGGGCCCCTGTACTTTTTACTCATGGCTTAAAATCACTTCCTCCCTGAGGTCAGGGCCAACGTTTCTTCCTGTCTTTGTTTCTTCTGAGGCTGTACCAGTACTCAATGTTAATAGTTTTCAACTAAATGAGTGTCAAACATGACACGCACTATGAACCAAGTCACTCAGATTCCAAAGCCCGGGGCCTGGGGTCTTATCCACTGGACTTTTGCCACCCAAACATGAAATCAGGTGTGTGTGTGTGTGTGTGTGTGTGTGTGTGTGTGTGTGTACGAGTGAGAAGACAGGCGGGAAATTCGAGAGACACATATAAAAGTCCCCTCCATTCCAGGACCTTTCTTAGCTTAACTAAGCTCCCCAGATCCTAGGGCTCAGGTCCTACCCCTCAGCTCCGATGTCCCTGGCTCTGTGACAGGGGTCTCATCACGTGTCAGTCCCTCCTGGGTCCCAGGCGCCTCTGTCCCTGAAGACAGCTCCCCCTGGCTCTCATGGTGTCGGAGAAGGGCTTCCACGGTTTCATCCAGCTGAAGGGAGAAAGCACCAAAAATGTTACAAATCCCTCAGGTGCTTCCCAGCATGATACCCCTTTTCCCAGCAGAGGAGTCTGAGGATTGGCAGCAGGATCAAGGCCAGGTCTTGGAAAGCAGAGGGGCGTCCACCTGGGCCCAGTAGCGATTGACAATGAGAAGTGTGGCATCGTCTGTGGCCTGCCGCTTCTCCAGCTTCTCAATTCGTTCTCGGAGTTCATCTTCACAAGCCTGTCGCTGTTCCAACCGCTCTGCTAGTTTCTTGTTCTTGAACTGCAGAACCTTCAGGTCCATCTCCTCCTACCAAGGAAAACAAAGGGGCCAAGGAGAGGGTCAAGCAGGGCCCAAGAAACCAATCACAGAGAGAAACAAAGGAGAGCAACTGGAATGGAGAAGAGAAAATCCCCAGACTAACCGCTAACAGGATTTAAAGAGGCTCAGACACCCACAGAGAAAGCATCTTGGTTGTGAGTTCTACCTCTTTCTAACTCTCAAGTCTTTGACAAGTCATATGCCCCCTGGGAACTTGTTTCCCTTATCTGTAAAAGGAAGGCAAAAATCGTGTCCTCCGTTTCCTTCAACGGTGTGTTCTGTAAAGTGCCAAGCTTGGGCAACTGGGAGTAAAATTCTGGACGATTTGGACGGAGAACAAAGATGGGTGTCTGGCAAGTTGTGAGGACTGGGGCAGGAGCCACGAACCGTAGAAGAGATGCCCCCAAGACGAATGGGCTCTATGAGCGTGGTTGTGGTCTTCTCTTCACGGCTCAGCTTCTTCTCTGGGGGCCCTGAGCCCCCGTCGCCGGCGGCGCGTTTGTTGCCGGGTCCAGACATGGCCGCGGAGACGAGGAGCGGCGCAGGGTCTCCCGAGGGACGTCGGGCAGGCGTGGGTGGCACTTCTGTCACCTGCAGAAGACAGAGAGCATAGATGTGGAGGCTGCCAGCGCTCCGCAGCCCCAAGCACCCCCGCACACACCTGCTGGATCTCGCCCCCGCCAGCCCCGGGCCCCTCACCTGCAGCAGGATCAGCCTAGCGCCATCTTGGACTTCACCGGACGTCACCGGCCTCTTCAGCCCAGAGCGCAAGCGCCGCAGGCAATGCCGGATGTGGCGAAACTTCATTTCCTGTTTCTATTGGTCGCGTTTTGTCCCACCTCTAGGGTCCCGTTTGGTTTCTTTCTGAAGACCTCCTCTTTCTCTCGGCGATTGGCCAGTAAACAGTTCCCGTGGTAACTGACACCGCACTTACATTCCCTAGTCCTAAGGGCAACGCCTGCGTCAGGTCAGCCACTTTGAAGGGAGGGCGCGGGGGCGGGGCTTGAAACTTATTGCGCATGCGCATTCTCTTCTTACTGATTGGCGAGCGCCCTAAACTTCCTCCCTCCCTCCACAAGCTCCCTTAGCAACGGTCGCCGTTGAAACGGACGGAGACGCCCCCTGCGGATTGGCTGCACCCTGTCTTTCTACGGCGCCGATTGGCTGAGGCGTCGCTAGAGAGCCAGGCCTTGGCAGTCGCTGCCCGAGGACCGGCGTTCCCAGGACCTGGGCGGGACAGAGCCAGTGGTGACCCACGGCAAAGAGGAGCGACGAGATGATCCGTCAGAAGTCCAGCCAATTCCTAGGACTGAAGATGCAGTCGGAGCTTGAACAGCCCTCCGAACTGCAGCGGGAACCCGAGAGGGAACTCACTTCATTGGATGAGTCCGTCATGCGGGTAGCAACAGGTGTGCGGCCTGAGTCCGGCACCGCGGCCTCGGTAGAAGCGGATGAAGATCCTGCAGCCAACTTGTTCCCGGTGAGGGCGGGACAGAATGGTCCTCTCCTGAATGTTTGTAAAAGGGCTCCCCGGCAGGGCGCCACCCGCTGTTATGTTTATTAAAGTTCAAGACGTTTCCTGGGTGCCTTGGTGAAGAGGCGGGGGTGTGTAACTCCGACTGTTAAATGCTCATGAATGGTACTTAGGGCCTACCAAAGCCTGGCCTGCCGGCGTTGCTCGTACATAATCTTTAAGATGAGAAGGCAAGTTAGCGGGTTCTTAGGCCAGCTGGAGATCCGCGACAGGTCAGGGACTGGGGCCAGGGACAAGCTCTGCCTGCCCAATCCGCTTTCTCTCCGCAGCCGCCGCTGCCCCGGCCCCGGATCTGCATGTGGTGAGTGTGAAGAGCCTTGGGGAAAAAGTTACACTTTACATTTGCATTATTCTTCCCCCAAAGTTCTGTCAAACAGCTAGAGCATTACCCATTTTACAGATGAGGAAACTGCAATTACCCAAGATGACTAGATCTCCAGCTTTCCTGCCTCCCCAGTCCAACGAGGGAGGATGGGAAGAAGGGAGCCAAAGACTAAGGATGTAAATGGAATATCAACTGCTGTGGAGCACTGTATAAATGGGGACACTGAAGCCACATGAGGAGTGGCAGAGACAAGGGCTTAAATTTCCTAATCCTTGGCTTTATAAACGAAGAGGACCAAAGGAGTTCATTTAAGCCATATTCCTTATTTGAAGGTGGAGAAAGTTGGATCGAGAGAGAGTAGTGGAAGGGCTAATCCTCAAACTCAGGTCTCCTGATTCCCAGTTCAATGCTCTAGCCATCATAGCCCTGCCAGGAGACTAATGCACAATGGCCACCAACACCTTTTCACCTCTTTTCTTACAACAGGAAGTACCTGGACATCCATTCCATGCACAGGCTGGAGAAGACCACCAACACTGAGGAGATGAGGGAGTATGGGGGGATGAGGGAAGGGCAGAGAAGCTGTCTCCTGGGGAGATTGAGAGGGCTGGGCTGGGAGGGCGGGAAGAATGCCCAACTCCAGAGTATGTGGTGCATCGGTGTGGGGAGGCTCGCTCATTCCTTCCTCTCTCCTAAGGGTGCTAGCTGAGCTGTTGGGGCTAGGCTCTCCTGAGCAGAGCCTGCGGGATGCCATCATCCTGGACCTTTTCTCCCATGCACTCATCTTCTGCCGCCAGCAGGGCTTTTCACTGGAACAGACATCAACAGCTTGTGCTCTGCTCCAAGATCTTCACAAGGCCTGTGTGGGTGAGAGGGTCAGGCTACCTAAGGGTTTGAGCCCAGGGGACAGAGGAGACTGGGATGGCAAAAGTGACCAAGGGAATCAGTAGTTCCCTTGGAATCTTTGGATTCCCTTGGAATCTTTGTTCTGTCATTACACGCAATATGACCACACACAAGTTGTTTCAGCTTTGAAACCGTCCATTTCTTTATATACAGCACCAACTTCATGAGACTGTTGTGAGAAATATTGTAATAGATGTAAATATACACACAGTGCTCAATAAAACAGCTCCTCCTCCACCACCACCCCCCCCACTTTATTCTTAGAACTGTGTTTTTCTGCACAATGTTTAACAAGAGGTGAAATTACATATTTCTCATTTTATTGTATGTCACTTACAGACAGGACCTTGTTTGTTTTGTTCAGTGCCCTAGAACAGTGCACGGGGTACTCGGTATTTGTTGAGTGAATTACTGAAATAAGCCAGGACTTAAACCTAGATTTGCTCACTTCTAAAGTGCAATAAGTAGCTGGTGAGTGAGTGAAATGAATGAATATCAGGGAGGGGACTCACTGTCACATCTTGCTTTCCCCCCTCAGCAACCCCCTTGGGCAACGTGGAGGAATGTTACCGCTACTTCACCAGTGTTCTTTTTTGCCATGGAGTCAGGGTCAGTTCCTCTGGAATGGAATCTTCAGTCTCCCCCCAGATAAAGTCTAGCCCAGTCTTCTACCCTCTCTCACACTCATCACCCTCATCTTTCTCTGAAGGCTGCAAGGGGCTCTCCCTGCTCCTGGACTGCCAGGCACTTGGAGAAAAGGTCAGGGTTCCTGGGGGTGGTCAGTCCCCTAACTCCCAATCATCCCCACAGCGGCCTCCCTTCAGTATCAACCTCTTTAGGGAGGAACAGCTGCTTGCCCTGGCAGATTATGTGGTCAACACCTACTTCCGCCACTTCAAGCTCTACAAATATGTCTTCACACCCCAGGTACAGAGGCCACCTCTCATCTCCCCCTTTCACTCAGTGCAGATGCCCTCCTCTCAGCCTCCCTCCTCCTCCCTCTTCCCAGGTGAGGCTGGACCTATCTTTGACTTACATAGGGCTACAGCCGTCTGAGCTCTGGCCAGAGGATGAGACAGGTGAGGAAGAGGTCTGGGGCTGGGGCTAGGGCTGGGGCTGGGGCTGAACCTGAAGCTGAAGCCTCTTCCTGCTTCTGGCCTGCAGAGAAAGAAGGCGAGGAGGTGGGAGAGCAGGCAGTCACCCCACAGGAGGAGGAGCTGGAAACAGTGGTCCAGCCAGAGCAAGAGCCAAGTGAGGAGCTGGAAGGGTTAGGTTCCCCTGTGACTTGGAGCAAGTATAAAATGAAGGGGTTAGACCACATCAGGACTTCAGGTCTGTTTTAGGCACAGTGTCCTTTCTCCAAATGATTCCTTACGCAGAAATTCAAGATGACAAACCAGGTAATAAAAGTGCAGCTGCGGGGGCGGGGGGGCATGGAAGAGGAGCTCCAGAAAAGGATAATTATAAAACCAATGACAGTAACAACCAGCACACATTTAGCAGTAACAGGGTGCCAGGCAGGCCCTGTGTTAAGCATCTTACATTTAACCCTCCCTCAGTCCTAGGCACTAGGTGCTAGCACTATCTACATTGTACAAGGAGGAAACAGAGATATGCAAAGATTAAATCACCTGTGTAAGGCCACTTATCTGCTCATCAGCAATCCAGAGAGTCCAGCATGACCAGTCCACCCACCTCTCTCCACAGAAGGGCTAGTTGACCTTTCCTGAACTGAAGCCTTTCCTGATTGCTACCTGTGTAGCCCCAAGTGCACCTTGGAGGTTGTGTTTGCCCAGCTGGGGGGAATCCCTCAGCCCCATGGCATCTCTGCTGACCTGCCCCTTCTTCCTTGCCCCTGCAGGCCAGGTCTCCATCCTGCGAGCCTACATCAAGACCCAGATGAGCAAGGAGCTGGGGCAGCTCCAACAGCTGATAGAGGAGCGGCTCAAAGCCAGCGAGGAAAGGCTCAACAGCAAGTTGACCATCCTAGAGCGGCCCTTCCAGCTACCTCCTGGCAAAGGCAAGAACAAGACCAAGTGACCCCCAGCATTTCCCCCAATAAAGGCCTGGGGCAGAGCAGCCCCATCCCCGCCCCCCCACCCCTCCTGAGCACCTTCTGGGCTTCCCCGCTGAAGCCAGACAGCAGACATAGGGCACTGGCTCTCTCGGGCGTGCAGCAGATTTTATTGCAGGTGCAGCACAGGCAGCATTGACAAGGCTAGGCATGGTGTTGCGAGCAGCAGTGCCCTTCCACCTTAGCTCTGATCCCAAAGCCCTGGCTGGTGGGGACAGGTGTACAGGGCTGGTCTTTATGGTCATATATCAGTGGCGGCATGGCCAGGCAGGGGGGCCTGAGGCCAGAGCCCGTAAGGGCTGGAATGATAAAAATCCTCCTCCAGGAGAGTCCTGCTTTCTGGGGGTCCCCTGGGCTGAGGTGCTAGCCCAGTGCCAGCATGGTGTCGTCCTCGGCGATAGCAGCAGAGTCCCCCTCTTCTTCAGGGCCCATGATGGGAAAAGGCCCAGGGGGCTGGTGCTGGAAGAGGGCTGCTCGGTTTTGTTGCTCACCCTTCTTCACCCAGTGCCCATAGAGCCGGAAGGCACAGTTGTCGATGAGGCGCCGCACCGGCCGCAGTGCGTAAGGGTCCCTCAACAGTGCACTCTTGGTCAGCGGCCGGACACGCTGGGTGCTTAAGGCCACTCGTCCAGCAGCCAGCACTGTCCACACTGCCACCTGGGAAGGAGAGGCAATGTGAGCTCCAGTGGGGCATCCACCATAGGAGAATGATCATGGGACAGAGGAACAGGCCCAGATGCTGACACTCTCAGGCTTACCCGGAACCGCTGGCGGGGGGTGAGGTTCCAGGGTTGGCTGCCTTCACAGCGCTCAAAGAAGGGATGCTGTAGGGCTTGCTCAGCTGTCAGGCGCTCCTCAGGATCTACCTGTAGCAGCTTTGAGATCTAGGGGAAACCCCAGAGCATGAGAGGCAGCTCTTGGGCCTCCTTCCTCACCCTCTCATGGCCCCAGCTCACCAGGTCTTTGACGGTGTCCGAACGGTCATCCCACTCAGGTGAACTAAACTGGTACTGGCCCTCCATGATCATGCGTAACATCAGGATCTGGCGTCGGTGCCAGAATGGTGGCGAGCCAGCCAGGAGTGTAAACAAAATCACCCCACAGGCCCAGCTGGGAAAGAGACCAGAGTCAGGCAGGGCTAGGCAAATGTGTTGAAGGACAAGACACAAAGGAGAAAGGAAGGCGGGGGAGACCATAAACTCACAGGTCGACCTCCTTGCCATAGCCGGGGTGGGTTTCATCCATGGAGCATTTAAGGATCTCTGGTGCTAGGTACCCTGGGGTCCCACACAACTCTGGGGAGAGAGAGCTGAGATTGATGGATGCCACCAGACCCCTAACTCAAGGGCCTGTTCAAGGGCCCCTAACTCCAGACCTCTGCTGGAGCCTCAACGCTGCCAGGACCATAAGTGTTCCCATTCTGCTCCTGCCTGCCCTCCACTGAGGGCAGTACTAGACCCGAACCTTGCTGCACAACCCAAATACCCACCAAGGTTCCTGGTGGCCTTCCTGGGGAAAACCTCATTTTTGGATGGACTTCAAAGTCTTCCCCAAGCATATCATTTGCCACCTGCAACCAAACCTACCCACTCCTTACACAACTTTGTGCCACGTTTTTACATGTATAACATAAATGGAAAGCAAAACTTCAATCTTTTCTACGTTCCTTTCTGCCCAAGTGGACTCCTCCTCCTATAAACTCTATTCTGTGTGGCAGGATCACCACTCAAACCAAGGAGAACGAGTGGGAATATAGGATTTCTTAAGGCACATACTGAGTAAGTCCCTTGTTTAAAACCCTTCCTTGGCTCCCCGTTGTGGTCTCAGGCTCAAGTCTACACTCCTAAAGCACAGCCCTCCACGACTTGATCCTATTATTGATCCTAGCTGCTTCTATCACTTCAGGTACCAATTTCATCCCAGCAACTGCCAAACTGTATTCCATGGCATACTTCCAGGAAATCTTAGGCCTACCTCATTTGAAAATGACTCTCCACCCATCCCCACCCCAGATCAGGAAGCCCACTGTGAGATACATACAACGCTTTGCACCTAGAGGATACTTGGCAAATGCTCACTGTCTTTTCCTCTTTGCTTGGTTACCTGGGTACTCAATTATCAGACCCAGCTAACCAGCCTCAGGTCTGGGTCTCCTTCCCTCCCAAGCCTTTTAGGGCACCAGGACCCCTCACCTCGAAGCTTCTCGCCAGGTTCCAAGTGGCAGGAGAACCCAAAATCTGAAAGTCGGATCTGCATATTGTCATCTAGGAGAATATTCTCAGGCTTCAGGTCTCGGTGCACAATGTTGTTGGCATGGAGAAAGCTCACTGCTTCCAGCAGAGACCTCATGATGGACCTGAGGGAGGTGCAGTCTCCTCCTCTGCTTCTCCCTGCCCGGCCCCACCCCGCCCCCTGCTCACCCCACCGGCCGCAGGCTCAGCCATTACCTGGTTTCCTTTTCTGAGAGGGCCACCTTCTCTGTGAGATAGTCAAACAGCTCTCCCTTCCGCATCCTAAGGGATAGGAGGGGTTGGGAGGTAGGTGTACCTTACAAGCGGCTGAGAAAATAAGCCAGTGGCTCACAGAAAATACCACGGAAGAGGCCAGTAAAGAGATTCCTCTTAGACAAACAGAGGGTCTTGAGACAGAGTGCTCCAAGAGTGAACTGGATGCCCGGGGCAGCTTGGCCCAGGGGATTGGTAGTTGAAATATATGCACTGTGCCATGAAAGGGTTATTTTAGCAAGAATAAGTACCTTCTTGCAACAATTATTTTATAGGAGGTCCTTATTATGTAAGAGTAACCTCGAAGAAGACCTTTTAAAGTGAATCTAGACCATGACCAAAATTTTACAGTTAACAGTAGTAAAAAGTTGAATAGGACTTTATTTTGAATTTTGCTTATTTTATATTGTCTTTAAAAATTGAGGTTATTAACTGCAACTCTGCATCAGTCCTTGAAATCCGGAGTTGACTGGGGGCATATCAGTGTTTTGCAACATTGTGTGATGAGGTAACAGACACTTCCTACCTCCCCCCCCTCCCCGCCGGCCAACTTTTGCAGAGGGTCATTTCTGTATGAAGACTTTGTGAATTTTTTCCAAGGGTCTCTCTTAAATATTTGCTATTTAAACCATTCTCTTTTGAGGTACCTTTACACTGCTTTACATTATATTTTCTAACATCTCACACTCAGATTCAGACTACCCAGAAAACGAATTGACAGGCAGAGTCAAACACCATGTAAGGTGGTACGGTGTTAAACAGCGAGAGACAGATGAGCAAGAACCTGCTGATAAGTGGCCAGCTCTTAAAACAGCCTTTTCTTCCCTGCTAACGTTTCGACCATGGGGGACTGGGACAGTGGCCCCTTGGGTCATGAAGACCCTTTTTAATTGGCTGGTCACTAACATTCTGGAAGAACCTGCCCAATCAGGGCACCCAGGGAGAGGGGCCAAAGCCAGGAGCACAGGAAGGTGTGAGCAAGGTAGTCTTAGCCCACTGCGCTGTCAGGCTGGGGCCACGCATGCAGGGGAGGAGGAGGCTTCTCAGATCAGGGCAGGGAGATACTCACAGATCAAACACCAGGAACATGAAGCTAGAAGACTCGTAGGAATCGATGAGAGTGACTGGGAAAGAGGCAGAAAGGTAGAAATACGGAGATGGAAAGGAGCGGATGCATGTTATAGGGGCTTTCCACCCCAAGGTGGCAGTGGGCTGTTACTGGGAAGGAAGGAGAACCAAAAGGAGGCAGTAGGGACCCAAAGGCTGGCCACACTTTGAGGTGGAGCAGAGCCATGACGAAGGGAGCAGAGGCATGGAGGCAGTGTGGGGGGAACGGGGCTATGGGCAGGGCCAGCAGGAGGTGGCTGTCAGCTAACAGGAGCAGGGAAGGCAGCCTCACTGATGTGGGGGTGGCCGGCGACCTGGCGAAGGATGTGCGTCTCTCGCCGCGTGGCTTCTCGCACCTCCTCTAGCTGTTCGGGGCTCAGTCGCTCAGCTGTCACCTCCATGATCTTCACCGCAAACTCATGGCCAGTAGCTCGATGAACACAACGGCGCACCACGGAGCTCACTCCTCTGCCAGAGTAAGACAACACAAGAGTCAGGCCTCCTGCTCTGTCATTTTCACGCAGAGTGGTGCCTCGGCATCCTCTTACCCACTGCACCAGATTCCGAAGATCCATCTGGGCGACAAGGCTGCCTCCCGAGGAGCTCGCTCTGATCTACAGTAGCTTCACAGTAGCCTCAGCAAGCAACCTGGATACCCAGCAAGGTGCAACACAAATCTCACAGAGAAGGCAGGTGGAGGTCCTGGGTTTGAACCCAGTTTCTGCCACTCCCTCCGTGGATAAGCCTAGGCAAGTCTTTTCCACACTGAGCTCCAGAGCCTGCCTCTTGCTTGCCCTGGAACCCCACGAGGAGAAAGTGGGAAGAAATGACCTAAACTTGAAATTTTACTCACACTTCGCTGATTACCCCACCCAAATCCCAAAGTTCTCCTAAAATACATCAAGTGCAAGGGGCTCCAAATAAATATTGGACCATTGACTGGAAGACCAAAGTTGTGAATTAGGAGACCTTGGTGTAGGCCCCAAATTTGCCACTAATTAACCTCCATGTAACCTAATGACCTAAGGTCTCTGGGCTTCCACTTTGCCGGCTCTGAAACGTGGCCAAAAACATCTTGAAGAGATGTTGAAAAACATTAAGGAGATAGAAGCAGAAAAGCCCATTTGGCATGGTGAAGAGAAAGTCTTAGACAGGTATTTCATTGCTGGGAATCTGTCACCAATTGCATATGACCCTACAAGTACCTCAGGCTAAGTGCAAATCTCTCCAAGATCGGCCCTCACACCACATTTCCTATGTTGGTTCCCTGGCTGCCCTCCACATAACTTTACTGCCGTGCTCTCAAGGCTTCCTCGCCCTTATGTAACTCCCTTTGCTTAGAATGCCTGTCAACCACATCTCTAGTTCCATCAAGAGATATAAACTATTGACCCTCTGGCCAGGTGCGCTGTTTGGTCAGCGTATTCTTGTTCTTTTCAAAATGAATTCCCATCTTAAGTGGGACAAGACCCGTCCAGCTGCCGCAGTGCTCCCCACACCTACTGCCTTACTCTTGGCCACTTCACAGTTTCACTTTCCTGATCTCCACTAAATGGCAATGCCATTCAACCAGACTGCCAAGCTAGAAATCTTGGTACAGTTCTTGGCTTCTTCCTCTCCTTCACAATCCACCACATGCAACCAGTCCACTCCATTCTGTGTTTTTTTTCAATTCTGTTTCCTACTTCTCCACCCCCATAGCTGTTAACAGCCTCCCCACCGATCTCCCTGCTGCCAGTCTCAGCCACTGCAACCCATCCACCACATTGCTTCCAGAATGAGCTTCTTATGACAGTCCTGTCATAAGAATCATGTCATTCATTGCTGAAGTTTTCCAGCTTAAATTCCCTAACAGTTCCCTCATTCCTTAGTGGGACCCCCTAGAACAACTGTGCTCTTTTGAAATGAGACCTAAGAATTCCAACCTTATAGTTAACTGTGGAGTGCACTTAAAATTTTTTTCTCTCCATACTGCATCCCTATTACCTGCAAGATAGAAGTCAAATCCCAGTCCCTTCACCCATCACTCAGAAATGGTCTCAGTTTCTGTTCGGCCTCATCTTTGGCTATTACTCTGCTATTCAATCTTTATTTCAGTGACTTACAACTTATCAATTTCTAGAATGCATCAAGCTCTTTTAAAGCTTCATGCCTTTATACATGAATAGACTGGTACTCTGGGAAAAGTCATTCAGTAAAAGTATGCAGGTAATTTACTATGCAGGGAAAAGACAGTGGAGACCAGGGATGATGCTACTACTGTAATGCCAGAATGAGATGACAGGGGCCCTACCCTCTGACCTGCTTTCTCCAAAATGGGTCTTTCTGTACCCTGTGGCAGTGGAAACACTGTCCTTCCCTAAGGGTTCTTCCCAGCCTCGGTGAGTCCTCCCTTATCTAGTCCTGAAACCCTATGTCAGCTTAGGACTTGGATTTCAGCTCACTTCTCTGCCAGGCACTCTCTCCCCACTGATGACCTCCAACCAGTCCCAGGGGACTTAAATACCAACTGTGCAATTGGCTCCTGCTGCACTGTCTCAAACCTTGAGTCCTCTCCAGAATTCCTGATCCCAAAGGCCTTTGTGACATCTCCATGTGATATATTTTAAAAGAGTCTGAACAAATCTAATAGCCACACCCCTGTCTGCTTTCCTGGCCTGGGCAGCATGGGTCACAGCAGACCATGCCAACCTTCCAGAGGCACATTCTTTTTGTGCTTTTATTTCTAACTCACAGGTGCTATCTTATATCTTACTCTCCCTTACTGACTCCTCCTTCTGTAACCCCTTAATGGTGACAGGCCTCAGGGCCTAAGCCTAGGCCCCCTTTCGTTTCTATTTTCTCACCAACTACTATCTATATGCTAACGCCTCTGATTTATTGCTCTAGCCCAGCTCTCTCTCCAATTCCAGACACATGTACCCACTTGACAGCTCCAGGTAGATATCTCAAAACTTAGTATTTCCAAAATGGAACTCGTGACTTGCTTGCCCCTGCCAGAAATCTGATCTTTCTCACACTTCTTCATTTCAGTAAACAGT